CCCCAAAACCCCAAAACCCCATCACTTTGATATAATTCAAGAGTTTTTCATTAATTTATGAATTATAAAAGTCAATAAATTATAAATAATAATAAATAAAAATGAGTTCAGAGCAGCAATCAAGTGGATCAGAGAAGTTTAATCAATTCATTGAGATGAACAAGGTACTCCTTAACTGCTATTCTAAAACTCTTCCAGTTCAATACGCTTTGATGGAAGCACTCGACCAGAAAGACTTCTGCTACAGAGAAAGAATCCAAATAGAAGAGTACCTTATGAGAGGCAAGATCGCTCCAAGAGATTTCTTTGCAGCAGCTAGAGAGCAACTATGATTGAATAGATATAGACTGCATTGATGTGAATGTAGTGACAACTTGCCAGTTATTGCCTGCAGACAGTCATATAGCTTGTATGCAATTGAATTAGCAAGGTTAATTATTTAAACAATACTAACTTTTAACCTCATTAACTTATTATTGCACTTTAATGTTAATAATTCACAACCAGCAGCATTATAATGTAATAAGGCTGCAAAATTTATCATCTTGCTCAAAGAGTGTAAAAGCAAATAAAGTGTGAAAGTTTAAATACAAATTATTATATTTAATAATAAGATCACTGATAAATATTTATTGCGTTATAGTATTAGTCACTTATTAGGATAGATTGCTCATTTCTCAGTCAGAGCTCTGTGGCCCACCCAATCCTTTGGAGCTATAAAATTGTAATCAGACATGAACTTAAGTAGACTTCTAGAAGGGTAGTCAGGGACTCCCTTGGACTTTTCAGCATTCTCTAGTTCAACCTTGGCACTTTCCCAATCACCTTTGACATAATTCTTCATTCCAAGATTGAAGATAGCGATAAACTTGGCGTTTCGATAAGCCCCTAGCATCTTTATTAAATCATTATCAGTATGAAACAAACTAGCTACTTAAAGCTAGCTGTTCAAAGCCTGTGATTTGAATCGGTTCCTCTCCAAACGAGCTCTGATAATATTCATCTTTCTCTCTTGCTTGCTTTTATTCTTATTTCTGTCCTTCTTTTCTATCTTGAGATTCCGAGTTTCAATATCACATGTATATAATTCAACTGGTTTAGAAGAGCCTTTGACTATAACTGTATCAATGTGTCTCATGTAAGATTAGCATTACTCAGTGCATATTTATTTTAAAGCTCCACTAATCAGAAGATTCACTCCAAACTGCTTCGTTGCTGCTTCTAGTCTTGAAGCCATGTTAACATTAGGTGATAAATATGAAGCATCAATTTTGAATTCTGAGCCAATTGCACCTTCAATAGCCCAACCAACATGCAGCCCGAATCCCATTCTAACTTAGTAATTAGGAAGTTTGGCAAGTATATCATGTCTCCTTCGATACTTATCCAAATGAAAAGACTTCTTAACCTATGCTATGATCTTTAAAAAGGATATAACAGTCATATCTGCTATTTGACTAACAGCATTAGATCTCTTAGGTACCATAGTATTTACATCCAAGTCGAACTCAATCTCAGTTTCAGGGAATTTCCAAACCAACAAGAAGGCATCTCCAATATTTTTATTAGCTGCACCAGAAAATTTATCAACTAAACCATGAACAATCTCCGCAATTTCATTGACAAAAACCATAACTTCTTCTTAAAGAATTTCTGTGGTATCTGTAAATTGTCTTATATCGCAAAATCCAAAGATTCCTACTATCTTGTTACCTGGAATCATCGGATCCACATCTCCGTTACTTGCCATATTATCTGCTATAATCTTAACGCCTGCCTCACCGAATCCCAAAGCTAGCAATGCACCAATTTTAACAATAGTTTATTCTAGAATCACTGTCTCTTGAGGCTCTTTCGTTCCGGATCTCATATAATTTAAGATCTTGTTGCAAGTTCTTGTGGATTTTTTCTATGACAAACTCTCTCTGAGTGCCAATTTTTCTCTTTTCAAAGCTTCTTATTCCTCCTCTTAAGCTGCATCAAGGGGATTACTTGCAATACGGTTGACCTTCTTGATCATCGAATCAATTGGCTCGATTATCAATTACTATGCATCATTCTAAAAGTAAATTGCACCGGCTGCTGAAATCAAGCAAACAAAGAATGTTCGGCAAATACTCAGCCCAGCACCCAATTTGGTGTTTGCTGAAAGATCATAAACAGCGACATAATCACCCTCATGCTCTTCTATTATTTGCTTCTCTAGTGCTCTCAGATCATCTGGCTAATTTTCATCATTAATAATTATTTTACTTACACCAGTATTGCCAACCCAAGTGAGGTTTAGAGATATCGCATATATTAGCGGTGTTCTCATTTAACTATGTCTTTCAACAAATTCGTAGAAACTAGAGTTAAAAGCCTCAGAATAGGGCTGATCATTAAATACTGAGACCAAATTCAAGCCAAATTCATATTGAATGCCTTCATCTCTATAAGTGGATATTGTGAAAACAGGCACTGAAAACATAATCCCTAATACCAGCATGATGACCCTGCCTGTGGTTAACTCCGAGAGTTTAGAGTCAAAGTGCTTGTTAGCCTATTTTTGGTTGCTAGATTCATTAAGAGCTGTTTATTATGGGTTAGATTATTATTCTTAAGAAGATCCAGATTATGTTTGCTAAGGCATTAAATTATTTTAACCTGGATTAGGTTAGGGATTTTAAGTTGCCATCCTTCTAACATCACTTGAATTAGGCTCATTGTTTTCTGGTCCGTTTGAAAGCATGCTGTCTAGACTCATCTCATTGAGTGCAGAGCCATCTGCTCTAACTGTTTATCCTCTTCTTAAATGATGTTTAGGTCCGTGGTCTTATTTAGTTGGTTGATTACTTGGAGGTTGGAAAGGTTGAGCAGCAGCAGGCGAGAAAATTTTATCAGTTTAAAATATTATCTCATCTTCATCTTAGACAGAAAACCTCTGCTCTCTCAACTTATAAAGCTTCATGATTCTAATAAGTCTGAAAAGACTAACTATACGCACAATTCTTCCTGCTCTTGTACCGATTCTCGCACCTCTGCCAGCCCTCGCAATCAAAGAGACCTGTTGGGAATTGCCAGAACTGAAATCTTCAGTGCCGACAATAATATCCCACAGCCAGCCAATGTCAAAGATTAGTGAAATTGTCGAAATCAAGTCAAGCCAAAAATAAAAACCAATAAAGTACTTAGGTATAACTAAAGAGGAGATAATTATCTCGAGTATGTAAAAAAAGAGAGTAAAGGTGGAGAGAGAGTAAAATATATCATCATATTTCTTTTATATTCCAACAAGTCGAATCTATAAAAATTATATGTTGAGCTCATTTTAATTGTATGTTTTGAAAATAGGAATTCTAACTTACATCATCACCAAAGAGTGCATAAATAGTGACACACGTCATAAAAGTCACATAGACTTTTCCTTAAATAATACTTTTAAATTTGTCTCTACATTTTTATTTCCCAAAACTTTTCTTAAGATTGAATTAATCGATAGCTGGTACTTTTGGAAAATCTCTATCTCTTGTATATTTTTTCTAGTCTTACTAATTCAAAATCATGAACGATTATCCTGATAGACAAATTTAAAAGCGATTATTGGTTACTTTATCCTTTTTGCAGACTCGCACCTCTTTGATTAAGTTACGAATCATCTTGAGGTGACTCCGAAGAATAAATTACTAACTCTTTCATTTCATGAGGTGTACTGCTGGAATTTCCTCCTTGTCCATTTTCTCTTATTACACTATTTGAATCTATGAAGCCTCTAATCCCAACTCCAGCTATTTTCTAATCTTCTTAGAAATTTCCTCCTCCCACTGAAGATGTAGGTGCTCCTCCTTCATTAATGCTTTCCCTTTTTCGCATAAATGGATGAACTTTGAAAACTCTCTTAAAAGTATTTTGTCATTTGATTCTGATCTTCTAGCTATCAGGTCCTATCTCCTATTTAGTTTGATGTAAAATAAGGGGAGTCATTGTAACATCAAATTTATTGTTAGGTTTTTTATGCATAGACATCTCAAATTAGTCTATGACTTCTTGCTGGTGTCCTGACCGAATTCTGTCTATTTAACCGTCCATTTTTTCTACTTTAATATTTATTCCTATAATATTATTTCCCTTTAATATTACCTTTTTTCTTTTGTTTTTAAATATTGACTTCATTGAGCTAGGAAAAATCTGTCATGATTGAAGTAGTTAAAATATAATTCAATCTGCACAAAATAATTCTAATTTTTATTTCAAATTTATGATAACTCTTTATCACTCTTTGAGATTTTCATTATGGGGTTTTGGGGTTTTGGGGAGATCGGAAGAGCACACGTCTGA